GCAAAGCAGTCAGTCCACAGTCCTTGTTCTTAGGAAAAGTATTTGCTATCTTTATTTTCTTCTGCATGCCCCCAATTATTCTGCTTGCCTCTATCTTATTTTACTTCTTGTTACTTTTGCAGTTGATTGTATTTCATAAGGAAGAAGAGGGGGGAAGCAAATCGAATTACAGCTAGCCAGAGGAGTTCAGGAGGATAAGAGGCTCTTACAGCAATATGGGGGGATGAAGTAGTGGAGTATATTGACTAATTAACGAGGTGAATGAAATTACAGTGATTTTTAAATGGCTGATTTACTTAACTGCTTTGTAAATTGGTCTTTAAATAGGGTAAGTTTATTCAAATATTTAAAAAAGGGAAAATAACTGCAGCCCTGCGAGAATAAAGGTTCTAAATAATGTTACTGTAGTTATTCATTAAAAAGGAGTAGATAGTTGGCAGTATTGGAACATGTTCAATAATAGCACGTTTTGCAATATTTGTTTTGGGTTTTTAATGGAAAATTCCCAGTTCCTGCAGTTTTCAATACATAAAACTTAGAAGCATTGTTTCTAGATCTCATGGTTGTGTAGAAAAGTACCTGAAAATGTGAATAAGAGTTCAAAATCAAGAAAAGCAAAGAGAAGTATGTCAGATGCAATATATGTTGTATATGTAAGTATAAGCAAGGCAGTTTTTACTGGATATTAGTTAGACCAGCAGTGAGATACCATATCTGATTTTGGTGGTCTTTTTAAGCATTGAAAAAATTATGCAGAAGTTTTCTAAAAAGGTTGGAGGGCTAGAAGGATATTTTGCCTGGTCAAATTGAAAGACCCATTGAATTTGGTTTGGTTTGCTTTGTTTTTTCAAATTGCCACATTTTTCCAGTGATTGTGTTAACACAGTGTGATGGATTTAATTTAACAGTAGGTTTGCTGCTTTTACTTTCTGCAAGCTTCTTAGGAGCAGTCCACAAATTAAAGAGGATGCAGTGGAACATAAGTTGGGAGTCACTGAATATCTCATCCTTACAGCAGAGGATGGCCTTGTCCAGCAGCCCTTGCATCCCTGTGCGATCGCAATTACTGCACATGCACAGTACATCCGTGGTACATTGAAGTGGGACAAGTTGGAGGCCAGACCACTTTTCCCACATACAGCAACCTACAACAGGTCATAGAGTCATAGAATAGTTAGGGTTGGAAAGGACCTTAAGGCCAACCAGTTCCAACCATCCTGACATGGGCAGGGATGCCTCACGCTAGACCCTGTTGCCCATGGCTCTGTCCAGCCTGACCTTGAACACTGCCAGGGGTGGAGCATTTACCACTTCAATGGGCAACCTGTGCCAGTGCTTCACCACCCTCACAGTAAAGAATTTCTTCCTTGTATCTAACTTGAATTTCTTTTGTTTAAGTCTGAACCCATTAGCCCTTTTATCACTACAGTCCCTGATAAAGAGTCTCTCCAGTATCCTTGTAGACCCCCTTCAGATATTGGAAGGCTACTATGAGGTCTCCACGCAGCCTTCTCTTCTCCAGGCTGAACCAAGCCCAACTTTCTCAGCCTATCTTCATATGGGAGGTGCTCCAGTCCCCTGATCATCCTCGTGGCCCTTCTCTGGACTTGGTCCAACAGTTCCATGTCCTTTTTATGTTGAGGACACCAGAACTGTACACAATACTCCAAGTGAGGTCTCATGAGAGCAGAGGGGCAGGATCACCTCCTTAGACCTGCTGGTCACACTCCTTTTGATGCAGCCCAGGATACGGTTGGCTTTCTGCGCTGCAAGTGCACACTGCTGGATCATGTTCATTTTCTCATCAACCAAGACCCACAAGTTCCTCTCTGCAGGGCTGCTCTGAATCTCTTCTCTGCCCAACCTATAGCTGTGCCTGGGATTGCTCCGACCCAGGTCAACCATCTCTCTTACAGCTAAGAACACTGCAGTTCATTATATGTAATTCGCTAGTAATTTACTAAAGGATACTTAGGATTCACTAAAGGATTATGTGTAATTCACTAAAGGAGATTAATTTGGCCTGACATCCCAGATCTAGAAGCACAGCCCTGACATTTTAGACAAATTAGGAATCACACTTAAATTTTAAAAGGAATGACTGGCCATGACCACAAACTGCTGCAGGAAACGGCAAGTTCTGTGTTACCTGGCATTTTTGAAGCTACCTGGAAAGTCATGCTTTTGTCAGATGCTAGTTTTTAAGTTTTCGGGCTAGAAGGACAAAAGTTTTGGGTTTTTAGGTCTGTGACAAATGGGAGATAAACCTAGACAGTCTGAAGTATGTTTTAGTATTAAATTTTAAAGAGTAAAATGAGCATTTTGAGTAGAGGTAATTCTGCATGGAGGCTCTTGTTCATTAAATTCTCTAGTTCAACGAAGTACTTGAGCACTTGTGTGAAACTTGGTGTTGACAGATAAATGATCCAGGAAATGGTAGCATTAGAATTACAGGTAACAAATACACCAGATGGGTTTATCTCTAAGGAAAGGCAAGCTGGCATATCTAGTGGAAACCATCGCAAGGCCAGATGTTTAAGAAGAGATTCGCTATCTGAAAACCATACACTCAAAGGTGACATGGGGCTTTCAGGCTCTACCGGAATTTGTGATGTGAGTCAGTAAGTCACTGTGACACTTCTCACAGTGCTTGGAGAAAAGCACTGTGCAGCCTTGCCTCCCCTGACGCAGAGGCCAAACCTAGAACACAGTGTCTGTTTCTAAATGCTCCTTGTCAAGCTCTGAGTGTCTCAGTCTGAGATGTGACTTCCGAATTTTAGTTGTTGCAATTCCAGTCAGTCACTAGTCTACTGCTGCATTGGCTGCCATGGCCTCCTCTTAGTAAAATAATCTGGGTGCTTGTCTTTTAAAATTTAAAATGGCTTGTACATTTTCAGTAATCAATTGTCCAAAGGACAGCGCATTCTGGTTGGACCGAAGCACTTACGTGGCTGTAGTCCGTCTGTCTTCTCACAGTGTCATTTTCTTGGATGGGAGTCATCCCCTTGTGTTGTCCTCCTGCTTCTTTCTCCTATGTCCACACTGTTGAAACAATTAAAAGGGCTCAGTAGTTGCTTGATGAGGCCAAAGACAGGAGCTTTTTCTCATTTCTGTATTTTCCAGGCTGCAGATGCCATTTTTGTGGGTAGCTACTCTTTAGCTACAGCTCTACTAAGCTATAGCTTAACTAAGCCAGGTCTCAGTGCTGTTCGTCAGCCTCAAGGCCCCTTGGCCACCTCCATATCACCAGACCTGCCTAGCCTTGGGACTGAATGGCTGCATCCAGACAGGGTTTGTGGTTTCTGCTCCATGCAAGGTCTTGAAAAGGGCCTGTGAACTGGTTGGAAGTGCACTGGTTGTGCTGGACCAAAACTGTGCCAAAGACAGCTGCAGTGATTTAGTAATGCTCCAGACAACTGCATGTAGATGCTACTGTGCCTCCTCCTGGGCACTATTTAATTTCCTAGCACTGACATGGCTGTACCCTCTGATTCTAGAATGGACTTGTTCCCATTGCCTAGTCAGATCTGTGTAGTGAGAGGTTACTCCCCTGAAGAGATTCTCTTGCTACACACCAAAAACTTACAGACTTTGTTTACTTCACTGCAATTCATGTATCTTAAAAAAGACTAAATGCAGCAGTTGAAAAATTGTCACTCTCTGGCTTCTGTTGGGGGCTTCTCTGTGCCAGTGCAGAAATGGAAATGAGATGTGATCTTCAAAATTTGTGGATAGAAATAGGCAGCCCTGTGTCTGGAAGGTCTAGCGTAATTGAGGCAGCTGTCATCCGTTTTCATTGGGTCCTTGGAATTCTTGCTTGACTTTCCTGAGGCTGTTGTTTGTCTGCTCTCACTTGTAGGGATTGTACGTTAAGACTGTCATGTCTCCTGGAGTTTGAGTGATCTCTTCACCCTGCACTCCTGCAGGAATTGTAATAAAGCATTGACTTATAAGAAGATTCACAAGAAGGATGGAAAATGCCTTGATCTCTTTGCCAAGTTCTGTCTGCCCTCCATCTGCCATTCCTTCTCAAAATCTTGAGTTCTGAAGGAGGTGATCTCGTCATTTGTATGTCAATTTGGATCTGTAATGAGGAGACCTAGGAAAGAAGAGACTAAAGGAGCATATTGTGATTTCTTTCTTTTCCAGTTCCATTTCTGGGCTTTGCAGCAGATACATGTTTGTTGTTCTGGCACTTTGAGAAGTTTAGGAGTTAAAAATGCTTTTGATGAGCCACTATGATGATTGAGTTACATGAGAAGCCTGCCTTTGGAGGGGAAAAAGCTGTAGACTTATTTCTTTAAATGAAAGCTCAGTAGTAATTGGATGTGCTGCACTTTCCTTGTTAGGGCAGGTGATGTCTGACAACATCGAAGGTTCAAAAGTTACTGACTTCAGAAATAAAACTTCAGGTATGGGACTTCAGTCAAATCAACTTTGGTCCTACAGGCCGGTATAATTTCCGCTAGATGTGTTTTTTATCTTCTTTTTTTCAAGGTAACAACAAAGTTAGGGCGACTTGAACTCTTCACACTTAAGATTTGAAAGAGATTCATAAAACTCATGTCGTAACTGGTTAAAACTTCTCCAAAAAAAACTCAACCTTGACCTAACAGGTTTGGAGCCTGGGATTTCCGCCTGGGGGATACCTAGCAATGGACAATATTTTGTCTGAAATCAAGTTGCAGCCTTAATTAGTGAGCAGCCACTGTCTCTCTATAGCAGTGGTTTATCAAAAGCAAAAGGGTACTATTGTAGAAGGTGTAGGAAATGCTAGTAGAAGAGAGAATTGCTGTTTGAGCAGTTCAAAGAAAATAAGCTTTAGTGGGAGGTTGCCTGCTGAGCTTGTTTAGAGATGTACTGTTGGGCTGCCATTTCTGTCATGTGTGTGACTCAAAGTTTTGGATCAAAATTGGTCTTTCCAGCATGTAAGGTACTTTCATGTATCACAGAGAACTGTTGAACTGAATTATTTGCTTTTACATTTTACCTTGTTTTAGTCTGCTGGAAACCATGTCTCACTACACAGACGAACCAAGATTTACTATAGAGCAGATAGACCTGCTTCAGCGCCTGAGACGTACCGGAATGACCAGACATGAAATCCTCCACGCTCTGGAAACCTTGGATCGTCTTGATCAAGAGCATAGTGACAAATTTGGAAGAAGGTCTAGCTATGGAGGTGGTTCCTACAGCAACAGTACCAATAATGTCCCAGCATCTTCCTCTACAGCCACAGCTTCAACACAGACCCAGCATTCTGGGATGTCCCCATCACCGAGCAACAGTTACGATACCTCCCCACAGCCTTGCACTACTAATCAGAATGGGAGGGAGAGTAACGAGAGGTTGTCTGCATTCAATGGGAAGATGTCACCTACCCGCTACCCACTTGCAAACAGCTTGGCTCAAAGGTCATACAGTTTTGAAGCTTCTGAAGAGGACTTGGACATTGATGACAAAGTGGAGGAACTGATGAGGTTAGTAGAAGTCTTTGTAAAAAGTTTGGAAAGTCAGAGTGAGAGACCCTCCAGAAGAGATTGGCATGTTGGAGGACTGCCAGTAGTGATGGCTATTGCCAAGAAAGCAGGAACAGCTTTAGATAGCTGTTCCCTTGCTAGTTCCATAATGGTCACTATCTCAGTACCTCTCACCTGCCTTTTAGTCTTGTGTAGAGAAGACCTGACCATGTGTGGGTATCCCAGTCTATTTTACTGTTGAAATATCTGTACCAAAAATTTAAATTAACGTTAGTGCACTAATTTTCCACCCTCCTCTTATTCAGGAGACTTCTGATTGAGTATTGATTCACACGAATCCTCCTCCACTACTTCATACCAGTTGTATTTCCTTCCATATATAGGGCAAGTAGAGAATCTGCTTGATTAATGCTTTCCAGTGGGGTCTGCAGAGCATGTTATGTTATCTGTTTAGAGTTTGTGGCAGGGCTGACTCCGAGATTTGCACAGTCTGCAGGTTGGCATAGGAAAATACAAATAATAAAGAAGAAGCAGAAAGTCTTCCCTGAGAGCCAGTAGGTTGGGATTTTTTTTCGTTCAGACTGACCTTCCTTTACCTTTAGTGGCTTCCTTTTCAGCATTAGCGCAAAGATAAAAGGAGGGGATTACAGTACTGAGGATGAAGGTCAGAGTCAGTGGGCTTGATAGCAAAAAGAAATAAGAGGAAAGGCCAAATGTCTCAAAACAATTCTGGTCATAATATTGGAATTCTATTTCCGCTCCCCCCCCCTCCCCCCCAAACCCCTAAAATTTGCAACATTTCTGAAGTACCTGTGATAGATCTAGGGTCCATAAGCTCCAGGATAAAAATACGTTTGAACTAAGTTTGGAGACTTGGGGTAAAAGTGTGGCTTTTGGAGGAGAGGATTAGAGATGAGCAGTATGAAAAGCTGATCAACCTCATGTACTGTCAGCTGCAAGATAATGGAGTAATGCAGGAAGGTGGTGGGTTTAGCAGTGTGCAGGAGTTCTCATTGCTGAAGTTTAATCATTCCTTTGAGTTTTGGGTTCCTATGCAATAAGTCTCAGGTAATGCTTTTAATGCTTATTTAAATGGAAACTGCTTTTATGTGCAGGCATACAGAAGATGAGCATTGGTACAGAACTACAAACGAACCCACAACATAGCATTTATTTTGCATTTACATTTGCAAGCTTGAATCTGCCTTGAATGCTGCTGGGGCAGGAGTGGAGAAGAGAAAGGCAAACTACTAAATGATAAAGTCTGGCTTTAGTTGTCTGCCTTTCTCAGGAAAGGAGAGAGGAAGAAGAGAGAAAAGTGTGTGTTTACTGCAGTTAAAATTTTCTGCATATCACAGTCCCTGTGCAACCTACAGATTTTATTTTCTTTTTAGCAGTTTTGGTCCCTTCTGAACTATCTTTGCACACCTTGTGAAATCATACAAAGGCTTTAAATAACCGGCACTTGTTCATTCAGTGCAAGCTGTGGACTAAAGAAGTGTGTGTGTGGGATAGAGGTTGCAAAATGTTTTCTCCTTTGAGTCTTTTCCTTGAAAGGTTTAAGGAGGTTTGTGTATGTATATTCATTTGTGCAGCTAACCAGGCAGACCCTGCTATCCTTTATATTTTATTTTTGTGCCTCACTTTTATGACTGAGGTTTTTATGCTGGTATGTGAGATTTATCATCCCTGTGTAATGAAACTTTGTACATTCCATATGGCAGTGCTGCACCTAATATGAATTATATAGGACATGAGTCATCCATTCTCCTGCTAGGGTACTTTGATCAAACGTGACACTTGTTAAAAGAACTGTCCACCGGTGAGGCACTTTGACTATTTTAATGCCTGCCTTCCCCACTCCTTGTCCCCTAAATAAAGGAAGTAAAGCCATTTTGCATCTCCAAAGTGCACTTTGGTCTGTCTGTCTTTTTGTGTGTTCTTTTGTGGGTTTTTTTTTTGTTTTGGTAGGAGGGACAGCAGCGTGATAAAGGAGGAGATCAAAGCCTTCCTAGCCAATCGGAGAATTTCCCAAGCAGTTGTTGCACAGGTAACAGGTAAGAGCTCGGGGAGTCCTTTCTTCATTTTGGGAAACTGTGCCTAACTGTCTGTCTCTGCACAGTGCAGATGTTGGAATATTGCTTGGCTTTCTGCATTGCAGTGCAGATCTGTCAGCTTAGTCATGATAATGTATGCCTTTGATTTAAGACCCATTGTCCCGCACATCATGGAACTTCCCCAGTGAATCACTTTTTCTTTTTTTTCCTTTTTTGTGGCTTGCGCTAGCAGATTTTATTTTACAGCATTATAATAAGCCCCAAGTTCTTATCTTAAAACGAAAAAGGTTTTCCTTAATTCTAAAATTGTTTGTGGAGTGTGGCAAATAGATGGCATATCTTCATCTTCATGTATGGGGAGAGAGAGATATATAGATATAATGTGTATTTTTACTATAAAATGCATATGAATAGTAGGGAGAAACAGCTATAGTTTGTATGACTACAGGCAGAGAGAGCTGGGCTTGTTCTGCCTGGAGAAGGCTCTAGGGAGGACGTTCCGGTGCGTAAAGGGGCTGACAAGAAAGCTGGAGAGGGGCTTTGACATAAGCCTGTAGGGACAGGACAAGGGGGAATGGCTTTAACCTGACAGAGGGGAGACTGAGATAGAGATCTGAGGCAGAAGTTCTTCCCTGTGAGGGTGCTGAGGCCCTGGCACAGGTTGCCCAGAAAAGCTGTGGCTGCCCCATCCCTGGCAGTGTTCAAGGCCAGGTTGGACAGGGCTTGGAGCAACCTGGTCTAGTGGAAGGTGTCCCTGCCTGTGGCAGGGGTTGGAACTGAATGAACTTTTAGTTCCCTTGCAGCGCAAATGGTTCTGTGATTCAGGAGTCATATTATGATAGATTGAAGTTTTTGAATCACTTGCCTTTGAGCAACATCCCCAGTTCCCTCAGCTGTTCCTCACAAAACCCTTCATGAGCTCCACTGCCCTTCCCTGCATATGCTCCAGCATTTCAGTATCTTAGGATGAAGACTTAAAATAGCTCCAATTCCATGTTATACCTATAACATATTAATTTTTTAACCCAAGCTTGAATTATATCTTGAAAATAGGTAATTTTTAAGGTTTCTTGATGACTAGGAATTACAAACCAGCAAGAGGGAATTTGTTTTCTATGGTATTTCCAGTATTTGAAAGGTCAGGAGAACCCATCTGCCTGGGAGATTTGGGTTTGCAGACATGCTAGCAGTTGAGGTAGGCAGGCAGAAACAGGTGCTTGATCCATGGAGCTAGGAATACCTTCCACATCTCCAACTCTTCTCTGTGATCTTGGGCTAAATTATTTGTCCTTCCCTGGTTTCAGTTTCGTCTGAAAAATCATGAGATTAACGTTTAGTGTAACTGAGGAATATTATTAGCCTTATCAGATGCTAGCATTAGTACTTCAAAAATTAAATGTTGTCTAGTTGCTTAAGTTATACCTGAACTCTAAAGTTTTGGAAGTTACTAGGTTCCTCTCCTGCTTTTGTGCAGTCCTCGCCTGCATATGGTCCTGGAATAACCCTCTCTGAATTGACCGTCATGTCTACCAGCAGTCAGACTAGCTTCAAAAAAACAGAGGGAAAAATTGTAGGAAAAGACTCTCTAAAAGAAGCCATCATTTTTTTATTTTATTTTTTTGTCAGTGCAGACTGCTGCACACCAGGCCATTGAATCAGAATTATCACACCAAGTCTGAGTCTGTATCAGTAAATGGAATGGAGCCAATGATAATTATATGGGTGTCTTGGTGCATGTCTTTGATACCCCTGCAGGCAGACTGTAGGAAAGTCAAGACTGGTCTCTTCACACCTTGTCATTTTGCTCCTTCTTTCCTCAACCTGCTGTCTTGCATTTCAGTTGCTGTTAAGTTGGCATTTAGCCTTTGGAAGCTTTCATTGTTTGCCAGGCTGTTCCTCCTGAGAGTAAACAGTGCCATCCATGTTGTACATAGTTGACTAAGTTTCACACCCATCCCACTCAACTCTCCTGGGTAACAAGGAGGGGGAATCCAGAATGTAGTTGCGCAGTGATCAGAGAAAATATGTCACTTTTGAGTTTGACAGTGGGACAAAGACCTAAGTAATGGCAGTGCTCTATTATCTTGTTTTCAAGCCATATCACTGGTTAACCAGGTAGATCTAAATGTTAAATGGCTACATCCTTTTGCAGTGGACCTTTCAAATGAGAAAAGGAAGTGGTATTTTGCACACGATGCAGTTTCTCAGGACAAGGTGGCATCAAGGCTTGCACTGCACTGTCATACACGTCTCTTCCTCCTCCTACCCTTGGCAGGTGAACTGTGTCATCCTCCATATGCTTGGTGGGGAGGTCTGCGTGAGCCAATTCATTTTAAATATAACCCATAGCGTCACGTAAGCAGATGTGTAGTACTTATGTGCCACTGTTAAGTACATAGTTATGGCTTATCTGAAAAGAAATAGTAAATCTCAAAGAGATGTTTGAAGGGACCAGATTAAAGAGTATACTCAGCACTTCTAAGGAGAAACATCAACTTCCTCTCAAAAGTACAGCATGGTGAAGAGTGACTGAAAATAGCTCGGGACAGAGATCCAGCACAGAGAGCACATGTCCGAGGGCTCTCACTTTCAAAGCTGTCTTAGGCCTGATGAGTGCTAGATGACTTGTGTATTCTTCAGATGTATCCAGCATCCCTTTCCATTCAGGCTGTGAAACAGGCTCCCAAGGAAGGCCTCAGAACCACTTTTGGTTCATTAAAAGAGCAGTTTATATTGGCAGAGGTAATGCTTTGCAGAATGTATGATCTCAAATAGTATCATCTCAGTATTTACCAACTTAGTCCTGGTGGTAAAGTTGTTCTGTAAATAATTCAGTAAACAAGAGCTAAAATAGATAAATAAAATCCAAAGAATGGTCAGTAGCAGATGGTGTAGGGGAGGATCATTACAGTGAAATGATACCTTTTCAGAAGATTTTTCAGCCTTCAGTGATCAATCAAGTGCTCAGGGTCCTCTTCATTATGTTGCACTTGGAGGTGGAACCCCCTGTTCTGGCTAAAGAACTTGTGCAAGGGGACAGTTCTGCAAGAACAGATCAGTAACCCACAGAAGCTGAGCTTACACCCTCCATTACTGTTGTAATACTGTAGCAAACCGTTACTGAAGGCTGCAGTGTGGATGGTGGATGTATTTGACTTGCCCATCCACTGGCTACCACCCCGCATCAGCTGGAAGTCTTTTGCGTAGCACTTAAAATAAATGCAGAATAGTGTGGCCTCAGCTTTTAGCATCCATCTCTTCTGCTTGGTGTACTGAGAAGAGGACAGCCTGGAAAATAGTAACCAAGTGTTAGATAGTGACTTGAAAATAAAGGAATGATTGATAAGAAGCAAAAAGCTAGCATAACACTTACTAGTGCTGGTCTTAAATGCAGGAGCTGCTTTTTATAGAAACTTTTTTAATGGTGTCTGTAATAAGATAAACAAGAAGCACTTGGGTTGGGCTCTGTATAAATAATCTCCTACTGATAAGAAAAATGACAGTATAAACAGGAGCTAATAATAGTTCCTGCGGAATTTCCTATCGTGTTATTTGAAGCTCCTTTTAACTTAGCTGCAGCTTACATGGGGGTCGGCATTTAGCCCTACGTGTGGCAGTTGAGATGCCAGATTTTTTATCAGCAACAAATTGAAGTCGTGTGCTGCAATTTGCTTTAATTGCCACCAAAATTGTATCAAGGTACCAAGGCTGTTATGGTCAGAGGGCAAAGGATAATGAGATAAATGTAAACTAGTTAAGAGATGCTGTCTCTTAGATTCTGAATGTAGATGGAGGGTGAGTGAAATGTTTGCAGAAAGTAGTGTCTTTCTGTTATGTACTACAGTAAAGGAGAAAGGGAGGAGTATACACAGATGAGCTTTTGCAGCCAGGCTAAATGCTTTGATGAATGATGCCTCTGCAAGGTTTGGAAATGGTAGCTTTTCCATTTTTTACACATAGGGAGTGAAGGAATAAAAAAGAACCTTACTTCCCTGAGGGTCACAGTAGAAACAGGCTGTTGCAGAACAGGAATTTGAATCCAGATATCTCAAGTCTTAGGCTAGTAGCATAAAAACAACCACCATTAAAAAAAAAGAAATCAACAACGATAAAATTAAGAGGTCTTTTTTTTTTTTCTTTTTATACAGAATACATAGAGCTTTCCTGTGTGCAGTTCTGCTAACCTGCCCAATTATTCTGCTTGTACCATTCAGCTCTGTCATACTGTCTCTATCTTAATTGATATGAGATCTTCAGGACTTATCTTTGTGTTTGCTAAACACACAGAGCATCTTGTAAGGTGGAGGGCAGCCTTGAAGCACTGCTGTAACATAAATAAAATCCCTTAAGGTTTGGAACTGGTGCGTAGGGATGCTAAGCAAATGCAAATAAAAAGTGAAACTGAAGTACTTCCATTGTGAGGAGAATTCAGAAAATTGCTTAGTTAGTGATCCCCTGAAATGACAAAAAATAGGATTTTGGAAAACATTTTCCTTCCTGCTTTTTTTTTTTTTTTTTTTTAAATACTCATGACAACACAGTGAAAGATGTATTTTTCTGTCACTTTAATCTTTGCAAGTTTTCTGTAGGCAAGGTTTGCTAATCTCCTGAATTGATAGATGTCCTTTTCTATGGAAAGGAGTGACATGTGACACAAGTCAACATTTCATAGAATCACAGAATGGTTTGCATTGGGGGGGCGGGGAACTAAAAGTTCAGTCAGTTCCAACCCCTGCCACAGGCAGGGCCACCTTCCACTAGACCAGGTTGCTCCAAGCCCCGTCCAACCTGGCCTTGAACACTGCCAGGGATGGGGCAGCCACAGCTTCTCTGGGCACCCTGTGCCAGGGCCTCAGCACCCTCACAGGGAAGAACTTCTGCCTCAGATCTCTATCTCAGTCTCCCCTCTGTGACGTTAAAGCCATTCCCCCTTGTCCTGTCCCTACAGGCTTATGTCAGAGCCCCTCTCCAGCTTTCTTGTCAGCCCCTTTACACACTGGAAGCTGCTCTAAGGTCTCCCTGAAGCCTTCTCTTCTCCAGGCAGAACAACCCCAACTCTCTCAGCCTATCATTGGAATTGCTGTAATTCTTTGTGATTACCAGTTCTTCCTTCATTATTTTCTGTAAGAAAACTAGTTGTCCTCATTACAACGTGTTCATGCCCCTGTTGATGCAGAGCCCAGAGGATTGCAGTCTTCCTTGAGGTCCGTGGTTCAAGAGTGAATTTCCTCAAGACAGCTGTATTTTCAGTACTGCAGAGAACTTATTTCATTAATCTGCTTCTGGCAGCAGACTGATTTATTTTTTCCTGCCAGTGCAATTTCCTAAAGTAGCATGATTATAGACCGTGTGACAGGAGGGTACTGGTGATAGTACTAGTCATTGTCCCTGTAAGTCAACTGTGCAAAACCCAGTTGAGATTGAAGAAACTCTGATGTGACAATTTGGGGATATGTTTTTTTTAATTGAAAGGAATGAAAGATGAGTTTGTGATTAAGACACTGTACCAGGATCTAGGTGATTCTGCTTCAGTTCTTCTGTTAGGACTTTGCATATGACCTTGAATCAGTCAAGCTGTTGGAATATGCAGTTTTGGGGCCTCTAAACCAAGCTGAGGTACAGATTAAATACATTTATATCTTAAAAGCAGAAACAGGATGAGTGATACAGGTAGAGGAGACATTTAAGAGGGTTGGCTCTTATTGCAGATGTCTGAAACAAGGAAAGAGAATAATAAATAGGAGAAAAGAATAACAGGATATGGGACTTCAAAAGGCCTTCTAGAGGTTGCCCGCTACTTTCCTGTGACCAAACCAAAGATCAGCTGCCTAAGCCATACCAGGCATGTTCTCTGGGTTTGCAGCATTGCTATGGAGGTTTGTAAGCTGAAGAGCAAAATGGGCTGTGGGCTTTTTGCTAATGCAAAAAACGCCATGGACTACAGCCTGTTCACAAGATGCCACAGTCAAATAATAATGTATGGAGAATTTATTGTTGAATTTATTGTTATTACATCTCAGCATCCTTTACAAAACTCCATTTTGCAGAAACAACTTTATAAACTGTGAGGACTTGCAATGGGTCAAATGTGGACATGGAAGTACACAGCTTGAATCTTCTGGCTCCTGCTCCTTTGCTTTGTCTTGAGCGCATTGTCTGAAGTGGCTAACATCTGTACCACTTTATGACCCTATCAGGCAGCCTCTTGAGCAGCATTTGGATTTTCCAGTAGCCTCTTGTTGAAGATACTTAATCTCTATTTATAATTTTATGTAATAATGCTTTTCATTTCTATCTTATGTTGTTACCCAAACGCTCAACAAATAGTAATTCACTGCAGTAAGCCTAAGTGGACTGTAGTAAACAAGTTAATTAATGGTGCTGTTACCCGTTGATTAATAGGAGCCAGGCAGCCAAAAGCAGACATGAACAGTTGTGACCCCTAGCACTGTGTTAAAGAAATGGCTTTTCTAAATCATAATAGTAAAGGAAGAGCTGCAAATTTTCAAAACTTGGTCTTTTCACTGCCCATCAGGCGTCTGGATTGCAAGATTTCAATTAGACTGAAGCCTTGTTTTGGGTCAGAGAGGTTTATCAACTTTTATTGACTTAACTTGTATGCTTCCACAGTTACTCGATGTAAATTTGGCAGAATTTAAGGTTTGTGTTTAGCTGAATAATTTTGCTTCTCTACTAATTGAGCTCAATAATATATCCCAAGGGAGATGATCAACTCTTGAGTGCCCCAGCTGTTTCTGAAATCTTCCAGCTGTGGGGCAAATGCAGTCGCTGAGAATGGGTGTTAAGAAAGTCAGTAGATGTACAGGAAACAAAGTCAGACCTAAGTAGGTTTTGTGGGCAGAGCTCTGTTGAATAGCACTCAGCTTCTGTACTCAAAACAAAATACACCTATCCCTTTTCCCCAGGACAATTAAAACTTCATATGCTCCCAAATCCTCTGTAAGGAAGAACAGTTAAGAGCATAAATTCTGCATTGTAAAAATCTGGTTGGAGTAAATTCCCCTGAATATGATACTTGAGAGTCAGGTTGCATCATTGTGAAGTTAACTAGCTTCAGTGTTCCAATGCAAAAAAAAACCAAACAAAACAAAAAAAACCAGAAAAGCAACCAAACCCCACACATAGTAAAATCCCCCTATTAGACATGGTAAAACTACAGGGGGTTGTTTTCCATGAGTTAAATATGATTATGAGATCTTATAAAACTTTGATGCATCTTGAGAGGGGAGAGGTATTTTGGTTTCCATGTGAAAACCAACCTTCTACCTGCCTCAGTATTATCACCAAGCAGGTGGTAGCACAGGTGGTGTTCAGCTGTATATTATTTCTTGGAGCACCTCCTAAAGCTTTACTTCTCAGGTGAGTTTAGATGTTATTAACCCTTTCTATCAGCTGAGGAGTCTTGTGGAAAGCACCAGAAATCCTCCAGTACTGCTTCGGTTATTCAGCAAACTACATGTATTTTGATATTTTCAAATGGATCTCTTAGTGCACTTTTAAACCTCTTGCATTATTTGGTTCCTCTCTTTTTTTCCCTTTCTGCATTTCCTTTTCTGCATTGATCCTTCATTCAATGTCACACTTTGGAAATCACTGTTAACTTCTAGAGGTTTTTCCCATTTTACTATTTTCTTAGAATTCCTGCCTTAAAAACTCTGGAACTTTTTGTCCCTAATCTTGTGTGGATACCTAGAGCATGAATCCTGCTTTGCTGACAGACAGCTGCCGTTTGTCTGTTTTCTGGCTGCTGTTATAGCTACTGGTAATTGGCTTGCTCTATTTCTGGACTGATTTGATCTATATCACATAAACTGTTTTTGTGTTTATCTCCCTTATTCAAGCCTTGAATGGTAACAATCTCTTAACTATCATTCTTTATATATAGTAGGGGGTAAGGGACTTGTTCCCATTTCACAGATGACAAAATTCCAGAATGTGGGAAGTGAACAGTTCAAGTCAGTGGTAGATCTGCCTTCCCAGTTTGTACCCTCTTTGCTTGTAGGTTGATTGTTCTGATTCCAGGATGTACCTTGAGTAAAGTTGAAGATAAGAGGGAGAAGTCAAAACAGTTAGGGATGGGGATGGGCAAGCTTGAACTATACTTTTTTTGTGGTTGAAACATTATGAGTTCCTAAGCTTTGTAAGACACCTTTTATCAGTATATAAACCACTTTAAAACATTTTGAAAAGAACAAGTTTTCTCTTCCTCTCTCTCTCTCTTTTTCTTTTCTTTTGTTCTGTTTTTTTACAGGTATCAGTCAGAGCCGGATCTCCCATTGGCTATTGCAGCAGGGGTCTGACCTGAGTGAACAGAAGAAAAGGGCATTTTACAGATGGTACCAGCTCGAGAAGACAAATCCTGGTAAACAAATACAGCCTAAACATCTCCTGCTGTTTTATTTATGGAAATAAATAAAGCCTTTTGTCACTGTTTTTTATTATCACTGATCATTCATCTCTTGGTCTGATGTCTTGCAGAGGTATTCCCTCTCACCAGTTTACTTTATTTTAGGAGAGTAGGAACAACTATGTGCTTTGCTTTGCAGTAAATGATCTATAGCTGACTCATCCATAGCCATGTGTCCAGTTCCTCAGTCATGTTACCCTGTCCTCTCAGTATAGCCAGCTCTGGGAATCAGAAGCTTTCAGGTGAAGTTGTAGTCAGGTAACATGAAATACATGCTGAGGCTCTTCAGAAAAAAACCAAAAAACATTAATAACATCTGCATAATAGAATGTTGCATCAAAAAAAAGCAGTTTTGTGTAGAGGAACTTTGAGATAACTTCAGAGGGTTTCGCTTTGGATGGGATGTTGATAGGTAGAGTGATAAGTTGGAGATGTGCCTCTCAAATCCCACCTGCTTCTTCAAATCTCAAAATAGATCTTAAATACAAAAAGTAAAGCTCCTCGTTATCTTTTCACTCACCAGCAATCTTCAAAATCACAGAAGAATTAATTTCCTTGCATTGTTCTTCTCCGTAGATTTTTTTTTTGACAACAGTTCCTATTTTTCCCTTTAGCGGTTTTATTGTGAAGATCAAAATATTTACATTCAATTTCCTTTAAATGATGGCATGATTAAATTAACTGTCTAATTGTTTTAAGAAACTTAAGATTTGGACTCCCTAATATGAATTTGGGTTTATATCCAGAATTCTATTAAGAAAAATAACAGTGAAAACACATCTTTACAACTTCTGCTTTGTGTATAAGCTGAAAATCAAAGAGGCCAAAGCTGTTAGTTGGCTTGAGAATGAAAAACATGAGCTTAAAGTTGGGCTGGTTCAGATTCATGGCTGAGCCCATCTTTTATATTAAGCATCTATTTAGAAAATGGTTTTAAAGAATGAAAATGCCAAGGGTTGTGAAGTGCTGGCCAGCTGCAAGTATTGCCAAGAAGTCTTGATTTTGCAGTGGGTAGAATTCTGATAATAAGGACCAGCAAAGTTATCAGTATAACTGCTTTGAGGGCCTCAAGTTGTACCCTAGGAAGTAACTCTCAGCCACTTCCCTTTTATGCAAGGTAATGCCTCCAGAACAGTGGAGAGAACTAAAGGGGATTTGGAAAATGTAGTCTGGGGGGGACCCAACAAAAAACCCAAAAACAAAATAAGTTCCTCTGCTAACAGTGAAAACTGTGTGGATCTTTCTTATGGCTTTGCACCTTGCCGTTTGGAACTGTTTAAGAACTAGTATTCTGTGCTGAGGTAAGCGAAGCCATGTCAAACTTAGCATTAAAATCTTTACTTTCTCCTCATAAACTTCTTTCTTTCCCCACATCCACAAGCTCACATCTTGTTTGTCCTTTCACTCTTGAGAAGCATCTAAGAAAGGAAGACTTACAACACTGAAGGTTATGGCTTAAATTGAAATGAAACAACATTAATCTCTAGTCCTCTGATGCACTGTCTTCCCGAAGTCTTGTTCTCTTTTCTTTATACACACGCAGAAAAAATTCTTGAGTTGTTGCTTGAGTGTAACTTATTTTCAACAAAAAGTTAATTGCACATCATTTTCAAGAAGTGTAAAAAACAAAATGGATTATCAGCCTATGCCAAGGGACTATTTAGATGTGCTTAAATTCCCTTCAGAACCAAGGAACATTTGGTTTCTTTTTAGAGGCTGAGGTAAAGGAAGGAGCTCTCAGTTTTCCTGTAGCTGTTGGAAAAGTCTACTTGAGGAAGATGTGGTGGTATTTATTGTAGGATAATCCACTGCTTTGAATTACTGCCATCTACTATATTGCAGGTCAGATTGGCTAGCCAAGGGATAATTTAACATGGATGCATGCAACTATATACAGTGTATTAAGAAAGGTACAGCCTTGTCCAAAGAGCCATGGCTTTAAATTACTGTTGCAAAACCAATTTGGAGCCTAAGATTTGGATACTAACAGTATACTGTGACTAGTAGACTAGACTAGCCATTCAGCTGTCATCTTTAGAGTCAGAAAATGAGAAAATCAGCAGAACTTCCTGCCATGTTCAAAAGAATCAATGTTGTCATTGCACTTTCTGTAGAGTGCAAAAGTTTGTCCTTCCCTGAAGAAACTTAAATGACTGGCATGTGTTTTTTCTATTTCTCACTTACTAGGAAGTGGCATTTGGCTTTATATTCTCATATAGCCCATCTTTTCCAATTCCAGCTCCTGGAAATAAAATCTCAATCCTTCCCCTTTGAGTGATAGAGTCAGATCTCTCTGTGCAGAGGCACCTACACATTTGAGTTGCCAATGGATAAAGTGAGGTCTTTGGAAGCTTTTAGTTCCCCCATTTCTTCAGTTCCTTAATTCCGAAAACTGGATTTTCAGAGTTAGTCCATTTTCTGACTGAATTCGTTTGTGTAATAATGCAAAGAAAACTTCTGCTTAGAATTGAAACAGTTTTGAAGGGCTAGGATATCAAATATAATCAATTTATGAACTCTTAACAGAGAACAGTTGTTTTGTACAGAAAGCACTGGTGATCACTTGGCAGACCTGTAGTCTTGGCTCTGCCAGTTTTTCTGTACAACATCTAGCAAATGACTTCTCCTTTGCACCTCACTTTCCCATCTCAAAGATGAGACCGTTTACAGTGTGTGACTTGCCAGCCTTGCCTGTAAGCTCCTCACAGCAGGGACTATTACTATGCCTATATAAACAAAAGAGGACTTATAAATACATCAGAAAGATTTTATTTTTCTTTTTTCAAATGTATAATGTGCTATATAATGCTTTAAATCGTCCACAAGCAGTCCTGCATTTGCTAACCCAAGAACTTTGTGTTGTGGAGCCTCATAACGTTTTTGAGATGTTACTGCTGTTGAGACATTGCTCCTATGGAGAAGGGATTCAGCAATTCCATTACTTTCCTTATTTGTCAGCTTGCTCTGAACTCTTGAATATGCTGTTTATTATTTGCTTGGTTTTGTTTGCTGGCTTGCATGGACAAGTTCTGTACTTCTATCTTTGGTGGTGGATGTTCAGACAACAGCAGACTTGAGCATTGCAAAAGAGACTAAGTCTCATGGATCAGGAAAATAAAACAACTTTTCCTATGGTATGCAATAATCTTGCTCAAAAATTTCTTGATCAACATTTTCCTGGTAGGAGTGATGTCAGAGTTAATGGCAGTGCTGCGAATTCCAGTGTACTGGTGATTGTAAATTCTTTCTGGAAACAGTTGCCAATTAGGGTGAAAAGCAGTTTTTTGTTGGAGGGAAGAAGTCAATGCTAAATGCTAGTGTTTGAAAGGTCTTTCATCCAGTTAATGAGGATACTTTTAATTTAGCCTGAGGTTTTTTCGGACAGGCACCACATCTCTTGTGTTTTGTAGAGGACTGAAAGCATTTTGGCAGTAGATAAATAGTATATGTTTCAGAAGCTGGTGTACAAGTGCAGAGTCCTGTAATGTTCTGACTGTTTTTCAGAGCCCATAAGTTTTAAATAAATAAATAAATATTCCTTTTTACGTTGCTAGTCTGATTAGTTTGGCAGGCACTGGGTCTTGGGCAGTGTGGAAAGTTTGTCATGAGAAACTTTGGCATGTCTTTTGCCTCCGTGTACTGCATATTGAAGCTGGCATCTGGAAATGATGTGTTGAAGTTACAGATGGATACAGAGTGATTCCATCTAGTCTGGCTATTTATTTCTGCCAGTCTTCTGTAATAGGAAGGCAGCTGTGGTCACCTTGGAGAAACCATGTGCTCTTCCTCCTTGAACAAAAGGGAAAAAAGAAAGGTAGTTTTTATCAAGTTGTAGCATCTCTTGTGTTATTCCCATAGCAGTTCTTGTTTAGTTATAAAAGAAAAGCCTTCAAAAGGGAAAGAAAAGAAAAAAAATAAAAATCAGGGGCTGGATATCCCATGAGATTTGAACTGGAAATGTATTGTTGCTGATTTACTGTTTTACAGAGTAAAGAGAAAATAGTCCCTGCTTTGATCCTCTGTATCCAAGCAATGAGCTCTGTAGGAAAGGTTTTGCTGTGAAGGCTGCTGATTCAAATCTAGCCTGGCTGAGGAGTAACTTGAAAGGTGTTTATTATGTGATCTTGGGTCAGCCTGGCTAAAAATACAGCATGACATCTGTTCTTATCAGTATAAATATATGATAAGTACTTGCTGCAAAGGCTTGCCAGGAAATGATTTCTTGGAGCTGGGAGATGGCCTGAGGCTTGCTCCAACCATTTTGCACATCACCCCTGTATGATGGGGCCTCTCTGAGACATGTGATGTGGATCAGGAATTGCACGTGATGCTTCTAAGAGCAATGCTCTTTCTTCAGGAAAGTATCTGGGATGTGCTGAGAGAAAGCAGGCCTTTGCCTTGAGGAATTTTGGTATAGAGATAGAGCTGCATTCCAGCTGGAGAGCACCACTTTTGCCTCCTCTTCCCAAAACCCACCTGCAGCACCCCCAAAGTTGTACCTGGCATTTGTGAAAATGCTGGCTTGCACAATGGAAATACAGTACGGTTTCAAAAGGTGCATGACATGGCAGGGAGTGAGAGATGTTGCATTTCATTTTTCTCTGCAAAAGCAGTTCTTCCCAGATGCTTCACCTCTATACCCCTTAAAGATGTATTGCTTTTTGATTCATATCCTAAGATGAAAATCTTACACTGCCTTTGCTCTGCTCATTCTGCTCAAGAGAGAATTTCCACTCCTTTAAAGTGTTTGAGGGGCTTGTAAAAAGAATCTGACCTAGTAACAAAGATGAAACTTATTAAGTTCTAAAGAAGTGGAGCTGGGTGGCAAGAAGACTGAAATGAAGCATTCAAACAGGAATCCCCAAATGCTCCTTTAGTTGAGTGTGATGAAGAAAAGCTCCATAGTTACCTTATCAAAAGTGGCAGCAGTGTATATGTCCTCCACTTTTGCCACTTATGCAGCCAAGCACATTTGGGCCTCTGTGTGCATTCAGATGCATCTGACTTTATCTGTGTGCAAAACCAGTGATGGGTCCTTGCTTGTAATTCTCAGCGTACTTCTTTCTGACCTGTTGCTGATACTGATGCTACCCCATGTAAAAGAGAAATAAGTAAATTGATCTTGCAAGGCTACTAAAACAAAGAAAGCATCTTCTATTCAATAAGTGAATATAACAGTATCAGGAGCAAAATTATGCTTTAAATGCAGATTCTTTTCCAACCTTTGTCTGAAAAATCTCAGGCAAATTTAACAGAAGTACTTTATGCCTCTTATCTCAATCATAGAATCACAGAATGGTTTGGGTTGGAAAGGACCTTAAAGCTCATCAAGTTCCAGTCCCCTGCCACAGGCAGGGACACCTTCCACTAGACCAGGTTGCTCAATACTCTGTCCAACCTGAACTTGAACAGTGCCAGGGACGGGGCAGCCGAAGCTTCTCTGGGCAACTTGTGCCAGGGCCTCACCACCCTCACAGTGAAAAATTTCTTCCTAATATCTAATTTAAATCTACAATTAGATTGTTAGGCATCACTGAGATTTCTATACTCTCCCTTTTGAAATGAAATTGGCAGGTAGGGAAAGTATACTGCTAAGGCAATGCAGGGAAAGGTAATTTCTTGTCCTCTTCTCCCCTGCTTCTTTTTTAATCTTTTTTTTTTATTTATTCTTGAAGTGTATGTAAATCCTAGCAACTTGGTACTGACCCAGACCCCTACACTGTGCAAGAACTAGAAAGAGTAGATAAGGAGATTTCCTTGAAATGGCTGATAAATTGGTAATATAGGAAATATTTCACATGTCAATAAAAGTAAGTAATCCATGTAGGCTTATTAGCTGGGAATTAGGAAGAGGCACCATCCGTTGTGCATGCAAGGCAGAGTTTGTGGGCTTCCCTTCCTAGAGAATTCTGGGTAAGAATTTTAAGTTATTTTGGGCTTTGATACCTAACACTGATGCAAGCCCCTAGCAGTAAATACTCACTGTGCATTTCTGGAAAGGAACACAGCCAAGTGCCTAAATAGCTAATTTCTTGCTTTTTAATTCTAGGAATTTGTTTATTGGTTAAACTTTAAATCCCCTTGACCCTTTTACTCTGTTTTATATTAAAAAAGCAGGTTTTTTTCACCAACACAGTATGTTTTCGTTATTAAATCCTAACCATTCTGAGTAAGTTTGAGTACCCAGAGGGGTTTTCTTTTTCAGCCCTGCTTTTACTTGGGCACAGTACCGTATTCCTCGTGTGAGCAGAGCTGCCTGCTTCTCTTGGATCTATCCAGGCTAGTTTCATGCATGAATTCCAGTAGAGCCTAGTATGTTCATGGGATACAAATGGTGATTTATCTTGTCATGCAACTGGAGTTTTTTAAGTTTTTTGCACACAAGAACTTTCTTCCCTCCAAAGGAAGTCACTGAGCACAAAGCTGTGCTTCAGAACATACCCTGTTTTACGTACTCATGTCCTATACCAGGTTCCCATCCTCACCGAGGGATGTATGAAAGATCAGTCTTTCAGTTTGCTTGATTTATCTTGATTTATTAACTGAGAGACTCTTGTGGAAAGAACCAGTGGTAAGTTTCAAAGGGCCTTTCCTGAAAGTATTTTGCCAAGTCCTGACTCTTGCTTGATGCTTTCCAGCTCAGGATTTTTGAAAAGAAAAATATATCCATGGAAGGGGGACAGAAGAGGAAAGGTGTGATGTTAATCTGCTTTTGGTGGCTTTTTCAGGCAACCTAGCACTTTCGGAGCCCATGTTTGTACAGGTTATGGGGTGTGTCTCTATTGGTGGAGCTACTTCAAGTGTTTACTCAGCTCTTTGGACATGTTGAAATACCTTGGGTATAAATTTACATTTTGCTTCTTGAGACTGATGTACAATTAAAGAGAAACATGTTATTTCTCATTTTGTGGCAGAAAAGGTAGCAGCAAGCCTAAATAAAACCCAGCTGGGGCATAGCTCACCCTTTCCTCTCAATGAAGATCGGACAGCTTTTTCAAAGAGCCTGTCAGCTCAGTTATGTCTCCCTTAGATTTCCATGCTCACCTGATACCTCTCTGGCTTGGAGGTTGGGGATGGGAACTCTAGCTGGCTTTGTGCATCTTCAAGGTGTCTGTGTTTGATAATGCTTTGCTTTTTTAGTTTGAATGGTTTCATCATCTGTCTTGTCTTTTTTCATGATCAGGAGTGAGAAAATGAGCATGTTTTTTAATCCATTAGGAAACACAATATTTATTATTCTTAGGGGCTACATTAAGCATGAGACCCGCTCCTATCCCAATAGAAGAGCCAGAATGGAGACAGACGCCTCCCCCAGTCACAGCTACCTCTGGGACCTTCAGACTACGGCGAGGCAGTCGGTTCACCTGGAGAAAGGAGTGCCTGGCTGTTATGGAAAGGTATGTCACTTGGGGGGTTTGGAGATGGGCATTTTAAAGCCAATAGAAGTGTCCTTTTTCCTGCTCTGGTGAACACCAGCTTCATTTTCATGGATGTGTTTTAGCATCTTAAGCCAGTAACAGTGTAATAATTTAATTTTAGATGGTAGAGTAGGAGGAACCATTTTACTGCTTCTGTTTTAAAAAATGTTATACTCCTTTGGACAATACCTCATTTTTTGTAGCCCCTAAACATCTTGTCCATAGCTCAGTCTGAGAGCATTGACATTCAGCTCTTCCTTTGCTTTTGCATTTAGCCTAACACAGGCTCTGTCTCAGTGGGGGTCTGTGCATGGTCTTTACATTCTGCATTTCTCCTTTCCCAGTTTACTCATTTGTCCTCATAATGAGTCATGTTATAGTTGTAACTGGCATTTCTGCACTGCTGTAATTGTTCAGGATGCAAAACTTTGTCTAACAAGCAGTAGATTCCTTGTCCAAAAAGGCTCTTACAACCCTTTTACATGAGCTGGGAACAGTACAGAGCAAAGTGGATCTTTCAAATACATATGCAGAGTGGCAGGTGATCATTAGAGCTCCCAGCCCTTCAGTCCTGCAGAGCTGAAGCACTCTGAGTCTGGGCTCCTGGCTGCCTATGTGCTTTGCCTTTCCCTCTCCTTACACTAATGTCTCTTTTGTGGATAATGTTGTATAATAGAAAAGGGCTAGTGAACTCAAATGTAGTTTAGGAATGAATGCTTATTTCTGGTAACGGCTAAATGGCTGGGAGGAGTTTTCTTCCCTTGGAGAGTGTGAGAAACCTCCTTTCCATGGAAGCACCAAATGACTCTGTGTCCTATACTCCTCTCTGGTTTGCAACTCCATTGAGTTCTTGGCCAGCGAATTTTTAGGATCTTCTGCTATTTCCATAATGCTTCTCTTTCATTTTGCTTGCACAAGGGCCTCTGGAACTGATCAGAAGCAGGAAAGTGCCTCCATTGCCTAAGCTAAGATCAAAACACTGAGCTTGCTCAGGGACCCAAGCCATTTTACAAACAGGAGGGACATACATCTGTGTGGCCACAGGCTGTCACAGGGTCTTTGCAGGGCTGAGACCAGTAATGAAGTGTTTGTTTCCCTGTTCTGTCCTGGCACTGCACTGATGTTTTCAGCTTTGGCTGAATGTTTCCCCAGAGGAAATAATGTAAATGTTTGAAGTCTGTTCTGTTCTGCTTTGCTAGACTCAACTAATGCAAACTCCTGAAGTCTAATAGTAGGGGACTGGGTTTTTATGGTGTCCTCCTCCACCCAGGCAGTACAATGTGCAGTAGGATCTTTAGCACTTTAAATGCTTGTGTGACCATCCTGATTGCAGTATGTAAAATGGGAGAACCATTACAGCTTGATGTACCTTCAGGACAGTACCATGTCCTTATTAACTCCTCTGTGTGTGAAATACAGAATTACTCTGAAGTAAAATTAGAGCTTTTTGGGGATAGGTATTTTCCTTCTTGGTTTCTGTCTGGCCTGAAGTATGATAACTGCTGTTATTTGCTGTTTGAATCACGATAGTGCCTTAGACTCCTTTGTGCTACGTGCTGTGGAAACACAGAGCAGGAGGAGAGAGCTAAGGAAGTGCTCCCTTTCATCCTTCTTTCTCCTAAAGCCAGTCTCTGCTGTGACACTCTGAAGAAGTTAGGCAACCTGTAATGATTTGGTATGTGTCTGTTAGAGAGGTGTAAGTTTTGATTTTGGATATGGAGAGAAGCAAGTCAGTGTGTTGACATTGGAAACCATCCAGCTGTATGTACAGATACATAATCACTTGATCTAATTTTTTTCTTGTCATTCTTGGTTTTGTTTGCTGTGTCTTGTGCTCTGCAAGGTCTTTGTTGCTGGGGTTTTCTTCATATTCTGCTGTTTCACGGAGACTTCAGCCACATTGCCTTAATCTTGGCTTTAATATTTATTTGCAAAGACTTTGCTAGGTCACTGCGAGCACTGGATTTCACAGCCTTGGGTGTGGGTACTGCAAAGTGTAGCTGAGAATGTTTACTTGATGCAAGAGCACAGTAAACTCAAGCCGTGGTAAAAGCTTTGTGTGACAATAAAACTACACTGTAAAGCAAGTTGGGACTATGGTTGTTTAACTGTTACATTTTAATAGGCCTAGTTGAGCAGTAAGGATGAGCTGTTTTATATTACGAGTTTTGAAAGACTAGGAGAGAAGCACTCTCTTGTGAGCCTTAGGAAGAAGCTAACTAATTTCATGTACAAGTCACTGGAGTCCTCTAGGCTTGTGCTTAATATGACTGATTAACAGCAGCCAGGTTGGAGGTAACCAGACCCCTGGCTGTCTGGCCCAAGCAGTTCAGGTTCGCTGGATGCCATAGGGTCAGGAATGAGCATTTGGACCAGTGAAATGGTCCAAATTGAATCGACATTGCATGTGGTCTGATGCCATTTATCTGATAATTTGCATTTTCTTCTGAAGGATTAAGTTTTGATTGTGAGTGGAAGCATCTTGCTCAGTTTAATGGACTGTTTTCTTTAATCAATACAAATTTCATTGCATTGTGCTTCTGTGTCCTGCAGCATCTTGATGGTACACCTAGATTTTGGTGCACGCGGGGATTTGCAGATCTTGGTGAACACAGGGATTTAGGCACCTAGTTTTGAGATTCTTCTTTGGGAACCTCAGTAAAGTGCTTGTTCATCTTGGCTTCTAGCTATTCAGCAATGAGAAATAGAGATCCAGAATGCAATTCTATCCCACTAATACAACTCCTGTGAGGGCTGTATGCTCCTTCTTCTCTGGCTACAAAAGAGGAGCCTTGTGCAATTAGACCTAACTTTGGTGATTTAGTTAAATGCCTGAAGATAAGAGGGTTGGATCTAGACCTTAATGGAAACTTGTGTAGGTGATGCAGAACTACATCTTTCTATAAATTCCTAAACATTGGTGTGAACCTTTATAAAGATACTTTTGCAAGGATCAAAGTCTTGGGCCACTCTATCAGTTAATTCTGGTACGGGCTTCTGACTTTGATTCAGTTGGTAAGAAATGCAGTTGCTAAAAGTCAATGTGTCAAACCAGCTGAGAGCTCTTCAAGGAAAGAATCTGAATTTGATTGCAAAAATTAGAGAGGTTTGCTTCTAGGAACAGGCTCTCCAACTGAAAATGCACAGCACCAGTCAGGATTTGGCACATGAACTGAATGAGAAGGGTTGAAGGGCTAGTTTCTCTTTTTAAAACATATTTAAATAAACAAAAAATCCAGTGCAATTCATTATTGTATTGGTGCCAACCTGTTATAATTAAGATTAGAGTTAGGGTCAGCATGTATACTAAAATGTCTAATGTACGTAAGTGTATACAGGGTATGTGTATTAAAGAAACTAATTTGTTTATACTGGATTTCCGGAATGCTGCTTGTGGTTTCTGTAATTCAATTCTCCAGTCTTTACTGCTTTTTTGGAAATTCTCCCAGGGTAGTTTATTAGTTGCTAGGCTTAGATTTCGGACAAGAGATTCAGGACTCTTTCTCCCTCTTTCTTTTTTTTTCTCTTAAATATCTCTCTGAATATTTATGCTCTGAAGGTTAAGAGGAGCAATAGTTCCAGAAAGTAAAGTTCTATATTTAACTGCAGACTAGGTGTGGTTCAGACAACTGCAGTGCAAGCTCCCTCTCGCTGCTGTTCTAGTGATATCAACCTTGACCTGTTCTTTTCTTGAGCCTCCCGCTCATGAAATATGCTGAGTTTTGTGTGTGGTGGTGATGTCGTGTGGCTTACCCTCCTTTGGGAGCAGAGCTAAGACTACAATAGTCCTTTCTGAGGTTAAACTTGAAAGTCTGTCTCTGATTCAGTTTCATGGTTTTTGTTACATCTTGCCCCACAAATATTCTTTTTTTCTTTTCTCTGCTTTACTTCTTTTCAACCCCTCTCATTATAATTATGAAACGGAAAATTCCCATAGGGTTTTTTCTTTTTAATGAAAATGTATTGTCTTGTCTGGTTTTTTTTCCCCAAATGACTTGTGCTTCTCATCATATGTTGGAGTGGAGTTTTATCTTCTTTTTCAGGGAAAAATAATCCAAGATTGGCAGCAGAATGAATGACTGTATACCTGTTTTAAGGCATTTTTGTTGGGTGCTGTTAAAGACTGGGGGGGAGTCTGAGTGTTGTTTTTTAAGTGCATGCTTTATCGAAAGATTAAATTAAAATAACTGAAAATTCTGCTCTCAACAAAATGAATAATTCATCAGTTGAAAGTATTTCAGTTTGTCTAGGGAGCAGGGACTTTGCTTTCTGGTTGAGGGTTATTTGGTTTGATTTTATGGGTCTGTTTTTTTATTTTAATGCTTGTCTGTGTTTTTGAAGCATCCTTTTGTAAGGATGTATTTAGATTAACTAAGACTAGATGATACAGCTACTTAGTATCCTCGTTTCATAGATGGCAAAACAGAGTCAGGCGTTCCACTTGGCCTTGTGATCCAAGGCAACTTTATTCATAAGAGAAATGGGTTTAGATTTCACAAGGTACTGAGGGTTTAGTTTCATGGTACAGCTGAGCAGAATTAACAGTTTGTCACCATCTCATCCTTAGGTGTTACCCTGTGTTATTGCCCTTCTCAGTTTCTCCTCCTCAGTTTTTCTACTCCTGCCACCCTGCTTTGTGCCAGATATGTTTCTTGTCTGATGGAAATGCCAGCCAGTTCAGCTCAGTTCAGAAAAAAATAAATCCTTTTCATTTCCCCCTGCATTTTACTGAGTTGGTTCAGCTTGCTGTGCAACGAGGGTGGGCAAATGACAGGAGTGCACCACTGAGGGCACAGTAAGGGGACGTTAGACAAAATGAGAAACAATTTTTCCATGGTGTTTAGTTTTGTTTTCTTTTATAATCTGCTTGATTTTGTTCTGATTTTGTTTACTTTCAGCTGGATGAGTTCCTGCTTTAGTTAACAGCATGGTCATGCTGACAGTGGTGCTGCATCATAGAAGAGTTGTCCTTTGATTTT